CGGATCGAGTGACCAACGAAGAAGTATTGAGGAGAGTCAACGAGCAAAGAAACATTCTGCAGGCGATTACACGAAGGAAAGCTAACTGGCTGGGACATATTATGAGAAGGAATGGATTACTGAGTGATATCACCGAAGGCCAGGTTGAAGGAAAGAGAGGACTGGGAAGAAGACTAACACAGCTAACCGACGACCTTAAACAAGGAAAGAAGATGACGTTCCAGGAATTAAAACGAGACGCTGAGAATAGGGAAAACTGGAGAGCTCGTTTTGGGCAGAGCAATGGACCTGTCGTAAGACAGAACACTGAATAATAATAATTATCTCTAAATCAAGAAACTAATCACAGAGTCTACACCATTATGTACAGCAAAGTTATTTTCATTCCAACACCAAACAAGGTAAATGGGGAGAATCTTTAGAAGTAAAAGAACTTTTACCAAGGCCTTATGTATAGATAAAAGAAAATTATGTGCCAACAAGTTACTCAACATTTTCAAGTGACATTAATCTGCCATATAGTTGGCTTAAATATTTTGAGAGCTACAAACAGTATTTAATATACTAACCTACATGAGATGTAGGCAACAGGCTGAAAAGAATTATTTTTTATATATAAAGACCCACGTTACAATATTATGTTCACTGCTATGTTAGCGCCTACTAAACAGCCTTGAATCTCAAAGTTCATCTGCCACTTTCTCATTTGAATATTTTTTTAATTACAATTAATAATCTAAAACAGAATTAATTAATCATGTCGTCATTCATCTTACTTTGGTACAGTTTTCCTGCAGCAGATACAAGCAATCAGCACAGCAACAAGGGGTACGGCCGCTCCCACTGCCACGGCCCATAATGGCAACACTTCTTCACTGTACAGCATCCTCGTTCATTATAATCAATGCATTACAATCATATATTCCTCCTAGTTCTGTTTTTCATTTACCTCAGATATAACAAATCTTCATTTAACTGTTTTATGTAAATGTGTTCTGACAGCGCAGTAACCTCTTGGCCTACTTGCCCAACAAGCGTAACTACTCGTATACAGCATTAGCATAATTAACTCATGAACTTCCATCTTGCCAAACCGTATCAATGTATACTGTTGTACGAAAATTCTGCCAACACATTATACGACAGAATAGTCAAACCCTATTAAAGAAAACAAATTAATCTAATGCACAAAGCCATCTTTCACGCTCCCTCCTCTCGCGATCAGCCATTTTAATTCACATGGTGTTACTGCCATCTGTTGAAGAATATTGGAAACGTCAAAACTCATGTCTTATTGCATTTGGCGCAAACGGCTACCGCGGCTTATCCGTATAGTGTTAGGGAGCTTTCCCAGCCTTTCGGAAAACACTGCAGTTGCTATCTTCACGGTACGTTCGACTTATCAGTGGCAAAAGCTTACCTCCGATCCGTGTTACATTCTGCTGGTCTGTAAAAATAAATAATTACAACCGTCAAACGCAAATATATATAATATCATAACGATTACACTAGAAAACCTATCTCTCCTACACCCTGCATGTTTCAGCTCCATTAAACAATTTTATCTGACGGCAGTCATTGTGGCATTTTCATACAGTAAATTCCGGTTAATTGGGACACATCGGGACTAGAACACTTTGGCCCAATTAAGCGGCTACCCCAATTATGCGAAGTTCCACGTAAAGAGTTAAAAAGGATTAAAACAAAAGATTTACTGAGATGATTTTTTGAGAAACAAATGTAAATGACTTCTGGAACAAATGGTACAGATCAGAGAAAAGTATTTACGCTAAAAACAATTTGAACTTAAGGTTTACATGCGTCATGTTTGTGTTTTGGATTAAAATATATAATAAAATACAGGTCAATACACAAAACTATATTTGGATGTTAAAATTTAAAATTTAAATGTTAAAATTTTAAATTAGCGCCATTCATCACTATAAGGATGTTACATTTGAGCGCTTTCATTCATTTCACAATATGTTTCGATGTAATACATCATCTTCAGGTGTTGTTTTTTATTTAAAACTATTTTATATTATAATGCATGCCTTTCAGTAATTTATTATTGTAATATGTGTTTCGCTGGTCTTCTCGTTTTTCCCATCTTATGTTTGTTTTGAATTATGCATAAGACGTGTTGTGTGGTGTATCACCTCTGCTCGGGTTGACTGTCTGTTCATGGACTCCATGAACAGACATGCATTATAATATAAAATAGTTTTAAATAAAAAAATAACACCTGAAGATGATGTATTACATCGAAACATGTTGTGAAATGAATGAAAGCGCTCAAATGTAACATCCTTATAGTGATGAATGGCGCTAATTTAAAATTTTAACATTTAAATTTTAACATCCAAATATAGTTTTGTGTATTGACCTGTATTTTATTATATATTTTAATTTGAACTTAATGTACGTATCAGAAACGCATATATGTTCTTAACAGTTAATGATGTTAGAGGAATTTATCAAGTATACCCTGCCGTGTTCTCTTGATTGACTGCAACTGAACAAAATCAGAGTAGGTATCTAGTGCAGATATAGGACTGCTTTCATTGCCTTCGTGCATGAAGTAGAGTCATAATCCAGCAACAAATTTCAGAAGCCATCCAAGCCTTTTTAAAGCATGGTACAGAACTAGTAAATTGTCCATTCGAAGCCACTTAAAGCATCGCTCGTTACTGAGTGAGTCAGCCCACATGCCACATACCTATAGTGATCACAATCGCGCCATCTAGCATTCATTGTCCCGATTAAATGGCATGGTGTCCCAAACAACCGAAGCAAATTCCGGTTATTTTCTCGATTTGTTTTTGTTATTTTTAATAAACGGCTGCCCCGATTAACCGGAATCTACTGTAGGCATATTTAAACGGCTAAAATACATTTTGACGCTGAAGTAAAGTTTAAGGCATTTATGATTTTAAATGTCGACGTCTAGTTTGCTTTTAAGCTATTCAATAATTTAAAATTTAAAGCTTAAAAGAAAATAAATTAATATTAAATGACGACTGTAGGTATGTGTGTTGAGAAGCCAATGCAGTTTAGTAGCCTCGGCTGTTATTACAAGAATTGTGGTGCTGTGGGGAAATAAAACTCACTCCCCCCCCTTCTAACGAATTTCGTAATGGGGATGACAGCATTAAAGTTCAAGAGGGTCGTGGGAGAGATTCGCTCATTGACGACGACGAATTGAAGGCATTAGTTGAAGCCGACCCACGCACAACGGTTCGAGAGCTTACTGCTGAACTAGACGTAAGCTTTAAAACTGTTTCTAACCACCTACGAGAAAGTGGAAAGTCAGAAAACCTCGATAAATGGGTTCATCACGAATTAAACGAAAACCAAAAGAACTGACGTTATGAGATCCCGGCGAAACCATTACTGCGGAGAAATATTGTCGCGAAATCGACGAAATCCACCGGAAATTACGTCAAAAACAGCCAGCATTAATCACTCAAAAAGGTCAAATTCTCTTGCACGACAACGTCCGACCACACGTTTCACAAATGACGCTCCAGTAGTTGAACGAATTGGACTACGGAACTCTGCCACACCCAGCCTACTCACCGGACCTCTCGCCAACCGTCTACCACTTCTTGCAGGGGAAAGTCTTCAACAACCAAGCTGCTGCTGAAAATGCCTTCGAAGAATCTGTCGCCTCCAGAACTCCTGAATTTTATGCTACTCGAATAAATACACTTGTGTCTCGTTGGCAAAAATGTGTAGATTGTAATGGTTTTTATTTCGATTAATAAGGTTTAATATGAGCTGAGATATTTGCGATTGAAGACAACGGTTAAAAACCGCCATTATTTTTTACACAACCGAATATTTTCCTCGTAAGCTGAGTTATATTCACCCTCGTCTTCTTCATTGGTCTTCGTCTGACGGGGAAAGGACAGCGATTACTTGCTGCATGGCATCGGTACGAGACGAGTGTATCGGACCAGTTTTGTGTTGTCACGTTTTATCGTTTAGCCATTGCTAGACAGGCCTAAATCAAGCGCAAGACGTCGTTCCTTGCAAGGTTACACCATTCCTACGAACGAAGTGCCCTGCTCGAAGTGGCAGACCCTTGAAAGTAAAACGGTTACTCGTCGGAGATTATCTAATCAGGAAACTTGTACTTTGTGGAAAGGATTTTGGTTGGATGGCTCTCTGGGAGTCAAACCCAGAAGTGCAGGGATCGCTTCGGCTGATCGTCGCCGAGTGTAGGAGAGAAATCACTTCGACTGAAGGCTTCCATGATTGGGAACGGCAGGCCGTGCCCCATTTGAATTATATCTTAGCATTTTCCTTACAACTGAAAGAAAGTACAGAAACCTCAGTCAGGGTAGCTGAGTGCACCAAACTTTTCAGCAGAGACTGCCTCGAAGGGGCTGCTGAGCATCTCTCTCCGTTGCCTGTGGGTGGCTTGTCAGTGCCTTCCGAGCTGCCGAACAAAGGAGTTCACCGCGGCAGTTAACTATAAATCGAAACTCCCAGTCAGTGCTATCATGTGGTAGGTGAAAAATGGAATTCTCAAATCCTAATGAATTTACCTGTTAATAATGTACCAACGTGCGCTAGTGTCGCAATGCGAAGATACTTGTTTTCAGATCGGACATGCAAAATCCATTATATGAGGAATGAGCCGTTTGTCATCTGGCCAACATGCATCGACAGAGAAACGTCTTAAAGGCCAAAATGGAGACACCAGGTATCAGGGAGCCTTTAGTTGTGGTGGGACACAATGTGCAATGGCATCTGCCACATCGTTGCCGCTGATACCTACATGGCCTGACATGCAAGCATGCCGTTTCCTTGAAATCCCGTTAGAGTTGTATAGAACTCCAAAACACATGGACAAAATCAGGAAACGGTACGTGTTGCACATTGCACGGGAAGTACGTACATAACAAAAACTTCCCTGGCACATGGCGCACAGTGCAAAGAGTTTTGCAGTCAAAATTGAACTGAAGGAGCTCAGTCAACATTTAAAAGCATTCCTTAAAAAAAGTAAAATAAAACATAAGAAAAGAAGAGAGAGAAAGAAAGGACAAACTGTTGATCCATTCATCACAAATCCATCTCTGAGATCAACTGTGTTATGTGCGTGGTGTGTCAACATCTTGTGCAGAGTTTCCAGATGTTTGGAGGTGTACATGCCTTGGGAAAGTAGGAAATGTGGGTGTCGCACCAAGGACATTCTATGACAAACGGTCGTGAAGTGGGAGCTTTTAGAAAAGATGATGGGAAGTGTACAAATATGAAGTGCATTCAAAAGCTCCTTGCATCTGGAATCAGCGTGGACGACTTGCCTTCCATCAGAGAGAGATCTGGTGGATTGCCCTGTTGGAGGGTTTTTTCTTAAAATCGCCCAGGTTTACAGCTTATCTGCAAAGTAGAATTAGCCAGTGAGTGAAAAGTACAGGTACCGCTAATTCTGCATTAAGACTCTCCATTCTACTTGTTATAATAGTTCCTTCACTGAGATGTATTGCAGATTTATGGATAGAGTCAAGAACAGATAAAATTCTCTCAGATTCAGAGGCAAGAAAAGCATATGCAGTGGAATCGCAAAGGAATAAGATAGTGACACAGCTTAAAATGCCATTCACTCTGCTCCCAAGAAGGCATCAGCTAAAACAGTCAAATATTCACTGACACTTCATCCGGAGTTGCTGAATGTGTGGTTACCATGTCAGGCAGCTGTTTTAGATTCAACTTTAGAAATGCAAGTCTTTGCAAATGAGATAGGGCATTTCATGAAAATATTACATTTGGGAAACACAACACAGAGTATGCAGAAGTGGATACATGTTGTGTTCACGACTGAAAGTTTGAAGCCACTGCCTTGACTCGACACTGACAGGCGATTAATGATTACCCGGAGTTATCGTTCAGCGATCGAGATTCAAACTGCATTGCAGTATAAACATTCTGGCACATAGCCTTATGATGACATTCACTTTGAAAAGCAGATCCCTTACACTACAGCTAGTTCCATGTGACATGAGCTACGGCCATGAGCTTTGCAGTAGTAACTTTAATGAAGAACTCAAGGTCAATGCATATGCTCCACCGAAGTAGCTCCCTTATGCCTTCGTCACATGCTGATTTGGCAACATTTTTTTTGCAGTGTTGTCACACAGCAGAAAAGTGAGAATGGTTACATACAATTTAGACATATTTATATAAACATTAAATTTATTATCTTCCTCTCTCCCATCACCTTATAAAATGTATTATAAAAAAAAACACAGAAACATGGGCATGCATAAAACTGTGATTATTATATTTGTGCCTGTGACAGATGACATTGGAATAAAGGAGTTTATATACTCGAGATGATAAATTCAGTCTTGTTATGTAGAGGCAAAATTAACAGTAACATGCAAATGTTAATATCTTTGGGTATAAAATTCACAACTTAAGAAAGTGGTAATGATGCTTAGTTATACATAGCAGAAACAGAACACTTTAACAGTTGAAGCCCTTAATACTATACAGACAATAATAACAATTTTACTACTCTGAGAAAATTCTCAGCTAGGATAAAAGGACTTTCAGAAAGAGACAGTTTACAGACGCTCTCTTGGATTAAACATCCAGTAAGATAGTGTAAAAAAAAATACTGTATGACTGAAATTGCAGCAACAGACAGGCACATTTTATACCTTTAATCCATTTTCTTTTGGTTTCCATTTGGTTAAGTTCAAAGCTGACTTGTATATTCATATCACTTGGATGTTTGAAATTTCATTTCTGAACATATCACTGTAGTTTGTAAAGCAAAATTCATATTCCTGCAACGAAAATACACTTAACTGCACACCATCACAGACATAGCTGGCCCAAGTTCTGTTTAATGATGGAAGAAAAGGAAAGCTTTGAGGTTATGCTGATTTCCTACCTACCCATTACAGATGTATAAAATATTAGATGTTACTGTGGTTAAAAATACATAAAATATGCCTAGCATACACATTATTCAGCCTCTTCAAAAATGGTGACATACCAGTGATGAGCACATATTGCCTGAGTATAAATAATATTGTACATATACAGTCATGTAAACATTATTCCATCAGCTGATGATCCTTCTTCCTGTGTTGCTTTCCGCTGGTAGACTTCTGTAGTAGACGTAAACAGACAGCATCAATCTCAACCCCCAGTCAGCAATCATTCATTAGCTGGCCAATTCTTTTTACTCAGCCTACATCTCTCTTATTTCCAGCATGCTGATGCTATCACCAACAAAACTGTTTTAAATGTTCATATGTTGTTAACTGCAGCAGCCCAAACACAGGTGTTCATCTTCAACATTAGTATATCTAAAAAAGTATCATACGTTAGTCCATCAATAAGTAATTAGACAGTAAGAGGGAAATTTATTGTAAAATCTTTTAAGAGGAACTATTGCAGATTAGTATGATTTTGCCATATTATGTACATGAACAAAAGTGTTACAATGGTAAGATGTAACATGGAAAATTACCTGGTGGGAGACGAGGAACAGGTGACAAACAATGAAGTGGGATACAGACAGAACAGAAATAGGATGGACCAAATATAAGTTGTGGGAAAATAAAGCAACAGAAATACCACTGGATAGTTATGATAACACAGCTTCAGAAGTTACAATGCCTATGTACCTTCCTGCAGAAAACAAACATGTGATTCAATGTAGTGCAAGTTAGACAAGCACAAGCAAGTAAATAGTGAGGTGACTGTCTTTGAGTGGCGAGTAGCAGTGTATCAAGTGTATATTCAGATGTCAAAAAAGAGAAGGCTTATAACCAGTAGAAGTCCAGGCATCCATAATCAATATAAAATAAGTAAACAAACAACTATTAACACTAAAAAAAAAGATACTATTGCCATACGCATTTCAACCTCAAGAGGTCCTCATCAGTGGCATCACGTAAATTAATTCATTTAATCAAACAGTTTAAACTGGATTTAGAAAATAAATAATGAATTGGGTATTTAACAAAAGTATTTCAAGCAATACTGCACTAGATGTTGTTATTCACAGGAGTTGAACTCTGCACTTAGCTATTGATCCGGTGGTTGTAGCTGGTCTGCGGTGAGCTGTGGTTGCGTCGTCTGAACCTATGAACTCCAGAATCATGTGTGTTCTGGTCTTGAGGTTGAAACGCATATAGCAATAGTGTGTTTTTTATAGAGTTAATAGTTGTTTGTTTACTTATTTATATTCTAATACAATACACGGTATGCAAAGTTTTAAGATTTTTAAAATCCATAATCAAGAGTGTGATTTGTAAACCAAAATAGCATTAATAAAGGAAATAATTAATTGTAACAATATGTGGAATAAGTCCATTTTACAATTTAAAGAACTCAAAAAAGTTTAATCACTGGTCTCTGTTACAACTGGTGTCAGAAGTGGCAAATAAAAATGGATCCAACATTACAGTCGATTATCGACAATTAACAAGCATGAGTGCAGGCCAAGAGAAAATCAGAGATGACAAAAACAAGCTAGGATGAAATGGAAAGCAGCATAAGTGCCATCTAAGATAAAATAAGCAGAAACATCAGTGCCACCAGGTCTGGCCAGGTGCAATTTACACAGAGGGAGAGAAACAGAGATGCTAGTCAAACAGCTGAATGGCATTGTGACACAGTTTCAGTTGAACATGACATGAATGCCACACTGGGAGTTTTAGACACAGCTGGCAACAATGGAAGACCAAATGTGGTGTGAAGGCAGGCATCTGCGCACCATATTGCAGGGACAAGCTCGTGACACCCTATATAGTGTCCCCGCCAGAGCAGCATATGAAAACATTGTCAGGACTCTGAAGGTCCATTACAGAGACTAGCAGCTGGCAGTGGCCTACTAGTCTCAATGCATAGCCAGGATCCAGCTGAGCAATGAGTCACTGCAAGAGTTTACACCAGCCACTGAGCAATTAGATCACTGGAACCCTGTCAAATTGCCTATGGACTTCATCCAGAGGGCAGTGGCAAAATTATGTACCACTGAGACACCCAGTATTTTGCCAGGAAGTCACAGCAGGGTCTGTTCCCACACTGCAAAACTGGATTGGACAGTTTCAGTTGATCGAGTCCCCATCTAAGTGGTACATAACTTACTCCTGTACTCTAATTCTCATGCTGAGACAAATAAGATCACCAACTAAAGCTCTGGGATTCTGGAAACTCATTAAAGATGCCACATTTTGAAAAGAGCTCTGTCGAAAACTAATGTACAAATTCATGTTTTGTATGAATAAATAGTTTACTTTAGACAGTGGCTGTCTTCTGGGATGTTGTGAATGTAGTCTGGTAGAAGTTACTGACGTTTCAGAGGTCCTTGCTGCCTCCATCATCAGGGTGATGACTCATCACCTTGATGATGGTAAACTTCTACCAGACTACACGGCGCAGCAACCCAGAAGACAGCCATCTTCAGACTCACCATTGTGAAAACCTTAAATCCTACCTAGTTTATGTTACAAAACAAAAATGTTTCTGACATGTTTTTGTTGCAAAGTTCTTTGTCTACAATCACATTCAAACACAGAACTTTTGTATCAGAATGCCTATGAACAACAAATCATGAAAAAATAAAAGAAATACCTGCTTATGCCCCTTGCACTTCTGGCCTCATCAATGCAGCACAAATAATATAGTGATAATGTTAATGATAATACTGATGAATACTTTTTCTTCATTAACAAAATGTAACTATACCGCATATGGTTTACAGACAAACAGCAACTCCATTCTGATTTGAATATTAAAACCTACATGTTTCTGTATCAATTTCCATTTGCTCTTGGTATGAATTACACATGGAAATTATGAAACATATAGTTGAACATTACACAAACTGCACAGTTTTAATGAGTGCTTATGCAAAAACAACACATACATAAAAAGAAATAAGATGATACATTTTCAGACTTGTTCATGATCTATGCATCAATGCTAGTTTGCTACACTAGCAACTTATCTACAACCCAATGCTGACCAACAATTGAGGCTGAAGTTGGAATTTTATTGTTTTGGATCTAAATTCTTTACCAACTTCCACATGTCAAAAGAACTATTTGAGAGGACCACATGCAGCCATTTTTAGATTTTGAATGCTGGAAATCAGGACTTGTGTTTGTCACTGCCACTTAGCTGGTCATTAGAGAACACACACAATCAAGAACTTCAAAACTTACTGGTTACTTATGTTATAGTTGTTGAATGGATGGTTTGTTTCTCTAGCCAGACTGGAACTTTTACTGTTGTGTCATTACAATTGTTGTGCTTCAGATTTCGCTCAGTTGTACAAAGGAACAAGGAAAGAGTTGTTGAGCAATGAATCTCATTAGCAGGATATGGATATATTGGTGACAGACATCTAACTGGAAGGACTGATGGCAAAAGGATATAATGAGAGATGAGTCTGATGTCATGAATCGTGTAATAGTTAGCTGGGTTACCTGTTCTTGGATTTGCTGACATTAATGTTTACTTTAATTATTATGAAACACACACTATAAACATCTCTACATTCAATGGGATCACTGTTCTATAGTCACATGAGTTCGCAAAGTTTATAAATCAGATTTCTCATATAATATTGTGATATAATTTCTGAATCACTTCCTGATACTTCCGGATAAAATTCTGTTTACTGGCACTGAATTCAAGTTTTCCGATTTCACATATTTTGATAAATGTTTAATATCCTATGCCTGAAGCAAACCAGGTGCAGTATCAGTGGTCTATGAAGACATACAGAGTTAATTGGAATTTAAAACACCTCAAAGTGTTGCATGTTACAAAACAGTGTATTTATTGCATTTTAAGCTAAAAACTCTATCTTTGCTAATTACATGTACCAATGTGGGTTTAAAGGCAGTAAGGACTATTTGTTAAAGTTAAAAGACAGTTTTATAATATGTAAGATTTGAGGTTTTCACAATGGTGAGTCTGAAGATTGCTGTCTTCTGGATTGTTGTGCCATGTAGTCAAGCAGATGTTTACCAATGGAGCAAGGACCTCTGAAACTTGCTGGAAGAAGACTATAATGGCACACAGAGTTCTCTCACAGGAAAAGTGAGAACTCTCAAAAGTCACTTTTGCAGACAACAGTAGAATTTCCAAGTTTGCAATGCATTGAATAAATCAGATTATATGTGGATCTAACAGAGAAACTTGAGGAAGATACAAGAAACTATGTTTGACAAAATACAACTTACAGAAATACCAGAATACAATGCACATACTTACATGACAAGTGAGCAAGCATTACAGAATTCTTCATTGCACTTGGCACATGTCACAATGCAATGTGTACAAAGGAATTTCTCGCAGAATGTACACTGGGACTGAATCTCCTTGATTGGGTGGTTGCAGCCCTGGCAGTGAAACTTTTGGGCTGGCTGAAAATAATTTTAAAATGTCAGAAAGAAATAAAAAAAGATATTGTGTCCAAACCAAATCATTAGCTTCGCATAAAACTTGACACTATGATTAAATGCATTGTTATGAAAAGGGCACGTCAGTATTTTTTTAAAATTGTGATTTTATGGAATACCATTCTTCAAGCATCGATCCATAAACTTGTAACTTGCTCAGAGTTTGTCATTATTTTACACACTGTCTGAGGTCACATGTCACCGACTTGTGCCACTTTCAAAAGTGTAACTGTATTTTGGTAGTAGAATTCTGAACTACTAATGTCAACTAAAAACTGCAAAACCTACAACTCCCACATATACTTGTGCAAGACATTTTTTTTGTCAGTTCTAGATATATGTGTTTGGAATGAGTAACCTAAAAATAAGAATTCATATTTTTATGTATACCATGAAGGACAAGCTAACGGAGGACCCAACAAAATATCTTCCTTATTAATGGATTACATCACTATCCATACTCATCTGTGAAACTGTCAACGAAGTGCATATTATTTCTGATAGCTGTATTAGCCAAAACATAAAGCATGCTGTTGTAAAATTCCTTGTAACATTAGCTGTTAATGAGAGATACCACAAAACCTTTCAATTGTATCCTGTCAGAAAACCCTATGGCAGCAATTCTGGGCTTATTAAAGAAGTTATGTATGAAAAGGTAGGGTGTGTGCAAGAGTTTTGCAAATTGACTGAGCAATCAAGCAAAAAAGGAAGTTAACCACATGCAACAAGAGCTTCAAAAGAGAATAAATGGCTGTGGCAAAAACTTTACAAAAGAATATTGTGTCAACACAGTCCTACAGTAAAGGTGTTCCTAGGTCCTATAGAGTTATTATTCCACTCCACAGTACATGTGTAAATACAGTTCTCAAAGATCAGAAGTCTGTCACCACAGATTTCACTGTTGGCTTCTTCACAAACAATTTTAAGCTTAGTTCTGCTCCAAATAAAATATCACCTACCAAATTAAAAAGCCTTCCCTAACAGCATGTACTCAGTATGTGAGCCATGTGTGCATTCTGCAGCTGTGAGCTTGGAAAAAAAAATTCTATTTTATTCTGAGTTGCATTCATACATTAATGTAAGGGGTAATGTTTTATGGAATTTAATTTAACTAATGTGAGACAAATATTGATAATTTTATGCACTGACGCTTGAAATGAGCCATTCTCTTACTAACGTATATTCTGTCAACTTGGAACTGGGCACCATTCATATGCACTTACATCTACAAGGTTTTAGAATATGTCATACTCTGCTATGTATGGTTTATAGTTGGCATTAATTTGAGATTAGTAATCAGCCATTCAAATCAGCATCCTTGCTACAAACAAAAGCAGCAGCTCACAATAATCTCATAATCTCACTATTGAAAGCAAATGAAAGTTTGCCAGTTTGGAACTGGGTGATGATGACTGTGGTCATCTTTAATTAATTAAATTATGTATTAATGGAACATGTCTGATCATATTCTTCTAAGGTGTAAAAATGTAAAATACCTCTCTCCCTTCACATAAGATTTTACAACATGAACAGGAAGGATATTTCATTCACTCCCTTAAAGAATAGAAAAGTTTTCTGTAAAAATTACACAAACACTTCCTCTTGATCCAATCTTCCTTCCTGAAAGCCCTGAAAATGGTACATTTCTATTACTTGCATTACTGACTTGGCTCCATCTCCCAATCCCAAAACTCTGAATGGTCTACCTTCATAATCTGATCCTCACCCTGAAACTGCACAGCCCAAAATGTTCCTAACCCCTTTCACTCCAATATTAAAGATGGAGGTACGTTTCCCCAACATGCTGGTATACAACCAAAAGATTACAATGTGCTACAGCCCAGAAAACCAATAACTAAAATAACTTCCTTGAGTTAAACTGATGGCAAGAAACCTTCATCTTTACTGACTATGTGTCGCAGCTTATATGCAGTCCAGCTGGCTATGTGGTACATCAGCTGAGCACTAAACCATGAACCTAATTCCCGTACAATGAAAGGTAAGAACCAAAGGGTTAGGAGGTTACTACAGAAGAAACTGTATAAAACAAATGCAATGTAATTTCCAACTCCTGTAGGAACTGATACCTTAACAGTGCCCCAAGATTGCAATTGGCACCGACTATCCAGGAACATTTGTTTATAATTATGTTTTAGACCTGGAGAATCCAAATGTTGTCTTGCAGTAACTCTTGACTCTGCCACATTCACAACTCTTTTGGCTCCTACAAACAACATTTTGATTGTCTTATCTGTAAGAAGAAGAAGAAAAAATCTTGACCATAACTCCTCCCATGTTTGTCAACAAGAGACAGAATTTGTTGAATCTGAAAAATGTAGCACAAAAAAGTTACTATAATTAGTATATACAATTATATTTTCTACTAATCCTGGCATCATAGTTTGTTTCTACTACCAGTGTAGCTGCATGTAGAAATTAAAAATATTAACTATTCAATAAGTCTTCATGGGCAATCAGCCACATTAGGTGCTTGAAAAAACCAGACATTTTGAGCTCTGTCTTGGTCCTCATCATCAAGAATCTGATGTCTGCGGAGCAAAGTAAATCCCACATACATACCTGCCTGGATTGGTTGCTGCCAGACTGGCTGGCCAGTGGGGCTAGTAGGTAGAGTCACACATCTAGCTCTGCTTGGCATCGCTTTCTTATTGGTGCATCTCTGGACCATTTGAGTAGATCATTTACTGGGTGTCATGTGTGACTGACAGTAGGGTTTATACAAAAACCGACTTTTCGAATTTCAGTATTTCCAAAAAACCGGTTTTCGAATTTTTGCAAAACACAAAATATAATTAAAACAGTATAAAAATATTTATACTTCTTTTAAAAATTTTCAGTTTATTTAATATTTATGGAACTACAAAAATATAACAAAATAAAATACACTCCATACAAAACCATATAAAAATAAAAGAACTAAAATCCGTACAAAATATAAATATTTATTTCATTTAGTATTTTTCTTCGGTAAATATGATTTCAAAAAACATAAAATGTCCACTGAACGATTACTTAATCTAGTTCTTATTCTAGATACAAAATTGCCTGAAATAGAAAATACTCTCTCACTGGCTACTGAACTTGGTTTTATCATTTTCAGGGCATCAAATAATAAATCTAAATTCTTTGTTCTTTTATTGGTTGCCTCAAATACTGAAAATTCGGCCTTCAGTGTCTTCGAATTTGATATTATTTCTTCAAGTTCCTCAAGAAACCTATGAATTGATTTTTCCATGGCTTCTTTTAGAGCACTGCCCTGATTAATAGCTTCTCCTTCTCCGATATATTCATCATCGGAATGTGTTTCCATAGAAGAATTTGGATATATTCTAGACAATATTTTTCCAGATAACTTAATAATATTGAGTTTCGAAGCTAGTGGAAATACACTAGATTTCTTTGTTGAAATGTTTTGTGGATTTAGCAAATATAGGAAAAGGGTTACCAATCCAACTTGTCTTCTTTCTTGAATTCGTACTTCTGAAGCATTTAATAGCTTGGAACTTATTTTCAGTCTTTAAATTTTTTAGTTCATTTAACAGAAATTTTTACATATTAATTCTAGTATCTAAAACTGTTTTTTTAAATTTTACAAATTTATCCAAAAAACCGATTTTTAAAAACCGACAAACCCTAACTGACAGTGAACCCTTCATCTCTGTTAAAGCTGTGGGTTGTAGACAGATCATGGTGGCTTCCTTCATGAGACGATCTACATACCTCGTAGCCATCCCTAGTATGGAGATATATGAAACCCAGTATCACCACACTCAAATGTCGAGAGAGGTACCAATAGGAAAGCAAGGCCAAGGAGAGCTATACATGTGACTCTACCCACTAGCCCCATTGACTTCCTGGACTCTGCAGACATCAGATCCCTGACAAAGAGAACCAAGATGATTCTCAAAATGTCACTTCTTTGTGACCACCTGATTGCCCATGAAGACTTCATTGAATTTAGTTGCTATGAAAGCTATAGATCATATAAATCAATATTACCTATGTTAAACAGACAAAATTAATCCTTAAAACATGGGAAAATTATTTTACTGTTTATCTGATTCAGTGACAGAAAACTGCAGCCTGCTTTCATTTTCTGTGCAAGAGTACTTGTCTAATTAGTGGCTGCTTTCACATACACATTAAGATGAATCTTAAATATGAAGGCTGTTCAATAAAGACTGACAATGATTTTTTTTAAAACATGCCTCCTTTATTCTGGGTAATTACAAGAGCGTTCTTTTTCAAAATAGGCTCCCCTGTGGTTTTTACTGCATCTATGGTCTGAAGTGTTGTCCTCAAAGATGCCATTTCAGTGTAAGGAACAAAAAAAGGTCACAAGACACTAGATGTGGGCTATAGGGAGTGTGAGGGATACACTGAATGCCTTTCCTTATCAAAAATTTGAATGACAATGTTTGCAACATATATCATGTCATGATAAAGCACCCAGTGTCTAACAAGGTCTGATCATTTTCTTCTAATGTAGTCCACAAGGGTTTTGAAAACTGAACAGTGACAGTTCTTTTAGGTGGTACTTTGTGCGTACAAATCATCCCTCCACAACAGTAAAAAAACTCTATTGCCCTGATTGACAAACATAAGCTTTATGGTCTTGGTAAGCTTGAAGAGACCCACTGAGTGTTTTGCTACTTGCTCTCAGGATCATAAAGTGTAATCTATGTTTCATCACATGTTACAATTTGTAAACACTTTTTTAAGTGCAGCACATTGTTTTTCTATAACATCCATAACAACTAATGTGTGGCTTTGGAGGTGAGACAGTTGCAGCCTGTAATCAAGGTCACAGCACAAGCACAAATATGCAGCAGCCTCTTACTGCATACAATAATAACTCACACCTGTCAGTGCCACCAACCACTATAAATTAATGTTCCCTAAAGACTTCCAAACATTCTGAAAAAAAACATTCTCGGTCTTACCGCACAGCCTCATATAATGTACAATACAACAATACAGTATTAGTTCCATGTGTAAATAAAAAGAAGTACATATATGGAAACTTTAACAAGTGTAGTTAACTGCACATTTTAAATTTACCTTAATACAGATCTGGGACTGCATCATATATAAGGCTAAATGTCACTACAACTCTGTTATGCTCAGCTTTGTGATCATTTGTGACGCAGTTTATGGTGCCTTATTATGTTTTTCCTTCAGCTGTTGTGCATTTTTTCAAAGCAATCTATGGAGATTTCTTTTTTGGAAAATGAAAGATTTGACCAAGATTTACTTTATTTTTGTGGTGCTGCCTAGCAGCACAAAAACAGGAAATATTTCATCAACCTGTAAAATATACTTTCTTTTATTTGACACAGAGCTAATCAGAACAAATTGAAGCTGGTGTTATGTTGAGAGCAGAAGTAGTATCAGACAGGCACTAGGATTTACAGGACCCAGAGTTGGATTGGCTCGTAATGCACAACCTGATATCACGGATGATTCCTCTCCTATAGAATAATCCATACTTCATCTTACAAAGTTCTTGGACACATTATTAGTAGGGGAATCAAATCTGTTCTGCCATCAGTATTATATCCTATGAGCAACTAGTAGCCTGACACCACAGGGTATCACAGGTGAAGGGATGAAAGATTTCAATGCACTGATTCTCTGTGTGGTGAACAAAAAGAGAATCTCAATGAAGACCCAGTGGTGCATGACAAAAACTACTAGACATCTTTATTGTCTAAATTAACTATTCAAAACACACATTTTCATATTTTAACATTATGCTGATAATGCAACCACCCTCTGCCACATACAGTGAAAAGCAGAATTAGGATCATCTGTGGAAGCACTTCCCATGCCTGTATCTGAAGTGCCTGAATTCACAATACGTCAAAGAAGTATAAGGTATTTAACTTAAAAATCTACAATCTCTGCTCCTCTTTGTGGTATAATGAGGGCTTACATAGCAAAGCAATATAAAGATGCCACAGGTGATCTGACACACATGGTGACATTATGCAGCATGGAGGAAGAGTGGAGGATGTTGGTCACAAGCTGTACAAGAATAATTAGGGCACTTCACACCTGAACCAATTCCTACAACAGGAAAATTGCTGACAGGGACAACGTTTGGCACAACAGAAGGAATGCCAAAAATTTTTTGTCCTAAAGCCCTGAAAAGGAAGAAATGGGATACTGTGAGTAGAGATCATTGCAATATCACAGCACTGTGCTGGAAACACTAGAGTGAAACATCACGCCCATCTGTACACGAGACAAATGTTTTGTATGGATTGCAAAATCCTCTGAAACCCAAGTAGTGCAAAACAGGACAAGGGACAGGATGGCTAAAGGCCTGATATAAGTCACAGAACTTCAAGTGAACAAAAATCTTCTCTGCACGTCATAAATTATTTTCTGCCGCAAAAGTTTTATGGAGTAAAATGGCCCACTTTGCATTCCGAAAATAACTTGTGACCTTGTCCTTGCAGCATAAAACATGACAGTAAATGGACAGGAAAAAACAAAAAGGAAAACTAATCCCAACATTGTCCCAGCTGTCCTGTCTGGAGATAAAGCACATGAAACTCCAAGCGATGAGTGTGTACTGTTGTGAGACTGTGGTGTTGGACTATGCATTTGCATGTGTTGAAAACTGTACAAAGCAAAACCCTCAACAAACAGACTGTCTTATGGGGATAAAAGTTGGTTGAACCTGCATCTATGGATGTAGAGCATGTATAACAGGAACAAATATTTGTACACTTGTTTGTCTGAGGGAGGAATGATGAGTTATTGCCAAGAAAACACATAAATAAAACCACAATACTTTTTCAGAACATGAATATAAAAATAACAAAATGCAAATATATGTAATATTCATTTTAATTAGAATTAATCTTGTAGAGTAACAGCTTAAGGGGCAGTTTAAAGTAAATGTTCCTTATAAATGTGTACTTTATTTCATTGTTGTATGTTGGTTTTTAAGAAAGATACATTATTTTACCTGAACACATGCAAAGTGCAGCATAATGTGAAATTTAAATTTTGCCAGCAGGGGGTATGAGGATTTAAACTCCTGGCAATTTAAATGTTAATTCAAGTGACCAACAATGTATGTATTACCTGCAATTAAAAAAAATATGTATATTATCAGGACTAAACACAAAATTTTCCAAAAAATATACTTAAAGAATCATAATATGTTTTGGGAAGAACTTCATTAAATATGACTGTTTTTTAATAAATACAGACAAAGTGCAAGATTAAATAGCACACCAAATGAAGAGCTCACTTATGAGTTTGCAATTGGCAGAAGAATAAGTTCTCTATCTTAATCAGAACCAGAGTTATAGGCCTATTTTAGTGAATTGGAATGCAGGAAAATTTAAGGAAAACTTGCAATGATAAATACCCTCAAATTAAGAATGGCATAAATCCACAATGCACCTTAATAATCACCATGAAGCTTCTATGATAACTAAATATGAAACCAACAATACTCTATAACTACATGGTATTTAAATTATCACCACCAGTCAGTCAATATCACTGTACCAAATAGAATAGAATTTACTTAAATTACTTAGATCCTTCATAGGCCTAAGCAAAGGATGTAGAACATGTAGCACAAATCCAATACATGTTTCTAATACCAATTTAAATTATACAGTTATGACAGTAATTTACAGCTGACTTTAGAATCAATGCAAAAATAATTACACAACAAAGCATAATCACTACTGCTTACTTGTATTTATAATAGCTGAGAATTGTTGGTTAAGGAAAATTCTTCTATGGACTAGGAGTGAGACAGAAGATACTCTTTTAGTGTTGGCTTACTTTTGTGGCCTTGCATTATCTTAATGATTTTCTTTTGAATGTAAAATACTTTTTGCTGCCTGTTTAATTTTGCCAGATAATAATTCCACATGACATGATTGAATGGAAGTGAACAAATCTGACTAATTTTAAAGTTTATGTTTTCATAAGTGATGTGACAGTCCTAACAACAAAGCATGCTTAGTTTAGGAATAAAGTACTGAATATGTGTTTTCCAATGTACGTTACTGTTAATTTGTAGGCCAAGTAATTTAGTTGTTCCTACTTCTTCAGCTCTTTTATCCGCATACACTATACCTAGATTAATAAAATTCTTATTGGTAGTACAAAATTTAATGATTGTTTTGTCCAAAATTAATGTGAATTAATAAACACATTGATCGTTACACCTTACCAATCACTGACTTCCCATATTCCTCATCACAGACTTCTTTGTCGCTAATATGTACTTTCTTTTGAGGTATCATATCGTATTCGAAAGGACAGAGTCTCTTCGGCATTATAACAGTTTAAATTTATCCTTGTAAAAAATATGCAAATGGAAATCTAATTATAAAAAAAAAACACTTCACCCACATTACTCATTGTCACATACATACAACCTCTATATTGAGGGCCCTAAAAATATTTCTTGCACCGAGGATCACATCCAGGCCCGAAACTTTAATAATAAAAACCTAGCAGTCTGTTGGTTCTGCCATCTGTGATCCAATTCACCGTCACCGAATCGGATATCCACATGGTTCTTCCAGGAATTGACAGATGGCAGGAAATGCATCAAAGGTTTAGTTACACTTATAAAATGATGGGCGACCGTCTGCTATAAGCTGCATTCAAAATATTCGTGTACCAGAAGATTTAAGTCAATTGAAATCAGTTGATGATAGAGAAGCTTGCGATTTAATTTAACAAAAACTGCAAACTTCACTGAAATGACTAATCTCTTCAGTTTTTGTCAAATTCCATTAAAAAAAAGCAGGGAAGTCCTGTATTATCTGCAGAATATTTGGATGTGATTTGCATTACTGTAATGATTAAAATGATTAATCACTTTTTTGATGATATAAAGAAGATGGGCCAGGGGAGGAGGAGGAAAGGTTTGGTTTTATTCACTTTTGTAAATATTAATATATGCATCTTTATCATGTTGTTAAATTGTCGTCTTATGCCCATTCGCGGTATGTGCAGTGATAAACCCAGTGTGGTGAACAGCTGTCACTGCTGGAACATGCTTAATCATTGCAAATGGAAAGAAAAGGTTTCTGCATTAACAGGAATCGAACTAGTTGAATGATGTTTCTGCTACCATCATACCCTTTTCTATCAAGTAAGCATTTGTTTTTTATTAAGATGTGAATTAAAAGTGATAAAAGTGCACAAAGAAACAAATATTCAAAATGTACTAATTTGCAAACTCTGTAAGAATTTGTGCTCTGAGTGTGAAACTGAGTTTGCTGTTTTGTAGTAAATTATAAAGGAGAAAATTAATATATTTTTATTGATGTGAACAATTTCAATAATAGGTAAATAAATTTCATAACACTCATACAGGGGGATTGTAATTTTTGGAACAATGTGTATCCAACAGTGATGCAAACCTCCTTTTACCAGCCTTACAGCAGTGTCAATAAATATTATTATACAGGTTAATAACGAACGCCTCACAACAGAATAAAAAAAACTTTGCCAGTGAAAGAACTGCAGGAAACTTGTTAATTTGTTACACCAAGGTTAGTAATTATGCAAAATTTTACAGAAATTTCTCTTTCAGATATGTTGTACAAATTTGGCAAATGTAATTTAGTTAAACTTGTGTGTAAATAAATCATCGAAAGATTTAAGAACCAGTGTAATAACAGTAGTTTATACTGCTTGCAGAAACTATTTCAATAAATATGTTGCAGCTCATGTGTAAGATGATACTTTTCTTCACGTAGGTCTTTCATAATTGGACTTTACAGTATTTTCTGGGGGGAAATTACATTCTGCCAATTAGCATATAAGTATTTTGTAAACTGAACTTCCGTTGTTACTAAACATATTGACATCTTGTTTTATGTAACACCAGTATTTTTCGTGTCTTTTCAGCCCATGCAGAATACAACGGGAATGGACAGTTCATGAGGTTTAGGCAGGGTGAAGTGGCAGAGAGTGGTAAATTTTCTGTTGTCAGTCTGGTTGGTAGTCAAGGCATCATTGCCACTAGTGAGAGTAATGAGACATAAAAAGCTCCTCTTGCAATGGAACCTGCTTCTGCCTCATCTCCAGGTCTTGATACCACCTTGGGGAAGCAGTTAGCTGTTGTTAGACAGCCGCTGTTCCCAGATGCATCAAAGGAAGCATTTGAACAAGCTGAGACATCTGTTAGACCGATGGATGTGAATGCTGGAAATAGATGTGCATATTTACAGTATTGTTTAGAAAAGTATATAAAATAGGCTGTTAAAAATGATCAGAAATTTGAACAATTTCCACCATTCATTTGTCTTAGGATGAACTCCAGAATTCTCCTTTCATCTAATCTGAATGTTCATTCATTGTTTGCTTGTTGGGAATATTTAGTAATTTTCCTTTTCTGTTTATTTTTTAAATTGATTCCATATTATTTGCTATATTCTTGTGTATGTGTCCAGTTTTTCATGTGTGTCGAGAAGACCTTGTGTCTGATTGGTTATTACATGAATGTGTTCCCTCTGTCTCATCTTAAAAGTTCTGCCTGTTTGGCTGACAGATGTGTTAAAGCAACGCTTGCAATAATTTCTCTAATTAAACTTAATATTAATAAATATATTTTTATGTAGTTCATGGATGTAAAAATTTACATTTATCATGTAACAGTGTTTGGTTGAACTGATTACCAGCATTGTACTATAACTGTGAGTATTAAGTTTGCATACCGTATATTAGAATCACAACTCTTGTTGCATGGCAGAGCACACACATGGAGCCCATTCTACCCAGGGATTACCAGTTCACATATGAGAAGATATATTCATTCATCTATAATGAGTTGTCACACACTTGTGATTTTAATGATTAATGCAAAATTAAATCTTCAGGAACTGCATAAAATTTTATTTCTGCATGGCATTCTGATGGATTGTTTTTGGAATACCAATTAACATTTAGGTCTTACGGTTCATTTTGTGCTTGTTTGTATGTGTGTGTATGTGTGTATGCGCAATTGTGCATGCATGCATTGTAATGGAATATTATAGGAAACTGTGATGCTTGTATGCAGGCAAATGCAAGGATGTTAGCTATTCATGAATTTAGTCGTACTTTTTTGTATGCAAATCTTTTGCACATTTTATGAAACATGTTCATGATAACTGCAGGAAAATTACAAAGCTTGATATAAATTGATTTAATATAACTGATTATCACATAATGGGCATCTTGGTATCAGGAGGACATCCCATCACAAGACACACAGACTGTTCTTTCTGTTTTTATCCAGAATAATGTTAAACCAGACTTTGAAGGCTCAGACTTTAATTACTTGCATATTCCTACCTTGTTCAGGTGTTGTGTTTTGGTGGGTTGTGTAGCACATACTTTTTTATTTATTGTGAATGATTTTTTTCTTTTTGTTCTTTTACTGAAATTGTCTCTGTTGGTACAGATGTTTTATAATTTGTTTGTTTTTAGTACTGTGAAAAATGTTGGGTGTCATTACAAATCATTGCTCTATAAATTAACTCTAATATCACTCTTTAATGTTCATCTTTACAGAAAACATTAACTTTGGCCACTTTCACAATATTTCTTCTCCTGCCTTAAGCACTTTAATAAATACTGATAACAGTAAGATAAATATGCCTTGCCAGTAATTATATATAAATTAGAAAACGGTGATATTTTTATTTGATCATCAGCAGCATCATCCATGGAATTTAATCTTATCTGTTTTACCATGACCTCTCATCATGTATTTGCCTCCAGACTAGATCTGTTCTGTCTACGTCCATCCCTACATCACATTTATCCACTTATTCTCTTCAATTTCCCATATTTGAATAGACTGTCTTGATGTAATTTCTATATTTAAAACTATTTTCAGCTCTTTCACTATGTTTAAAACTGCTGTTAGTGTTCTGAACTTATAAAATTGTAAGATCTGCATGAGTCTACTCTCACATAGTATGAACTTACTGCAACATTCCCTTTATTCTGCATCTTATGGTTAGGTGATTTCAAGTCTGTAGTGTAGCATATGATTCAGTCCAATGTGGCCATCATCAGGTTCCAATACATGGTTGACAGTGACTTCGTGTCAGCCTTTTCTTTTCTTATTCACAATATCTGAAAAGTAAACTCTCCAGGTTCCAATACATGGTTGACAGTGACTTTGTGTCAGCCTTTTCTTTTCTTATTCACTATATCTGAAAAGTAAACTCTCCACCAACAGAGTGGCCACTAAAAGGACTCAAAATGTTCATCTCATCCTTTTCTCTAAATCTTTCTAGTTAAGTTTATTACTTCTCTGCTTCATGCAAAGTGGTATCCCAGAACGGCCAAAATAGTTAAGAGAATGTAATGCTTAGTTTTTATTTTACTACTTTGACCCAGTGTTAAAATACAGCTATCCCCCTACATGGAATATAATTAGGAAATAAAATAGAAAGATAAAATCAGAAGGAAAGAATAAATGTTCATTCATTGTTTGCTTGTTGGGAATATTTAGAAATTTTCCTTTTCTGTTTATTTTTAAATTGATTCCATATTATTTTCTATATTCCTATGTATGTGTCCACTTTTTAATGTGTGTCGAGAAGCCCTTGTGTCTGATTGGTTATTTATTACATGAATGTGTTCCCTCTGTCTTGTCTTAAATGTTCTGCCTGTTTGGCTGACAGAGTTCATAGGGCATGCTAAAGAAGTTAAGTGGTGTACAAGGCGCTGTTAAAGATTCATGTAATTTTTAAAAGTGACCCTTGCTAAATACTTATAGTTGAAGCATCGCTTGCAATAATTTCTCTAATTAAACATAATATTAAGAAATATATTTTTATGTAGGTCATGGATGTAGAACTATACAACCTATGCCATTTCTTGTTGCAGGTAGATGAAACACAGGAGAAAAAGAAGTGCAAGAAAGAAAAGAAGGAGGACAGCAACAGAAAGAGGAATCGTGACGAATGATATATTCTAGTGTTAAGATGTCACTGTGATCATCTCAGCTCCATATTTGTTATTCATGGTTCCTTGTTATGTTCCATAATTTTATGTAATATTCACACACACACACACAATCCCTATTTCTTCCATTTCTGTCAGTCTTCATTTTCAACGTTTCTTATTTCTGTTGCTTGTTATATACCTGATGCCATGTTTTCTGTGTCTTCTACATTTGTGCCTGTCTAGAGCAGTCCAGTTCCTTATTTTATTTTGCTGTTTTAAACTGATGTTGAAGAAGTCTGCTCTACAGTAGGCCTGTTACCGTTTATAATTCTATTGTATTGACTACATATCTCCATATAATCCCATCTTTCAATCTGTAAAGTACTAAATGGAAAGATGCCATAACATTCTTCTCTAATAATATAAATTAAAACTGATGGTTTTATATGGAATCAGTAGCAAGCCTTAATAGAGAGTGACTATATATCCAACTTTTTTAAGGGTGATAAAAATCCATAGCACAACTTCCTTCGGAGGGGAAATAATGCCAGTGGTCCCATGTCGTAGATTTACCTTACAAGCATGAACGAGATGTTTCATGAGCACTGTGGCATTATCGACATCCCAAAATCTGACTACCCAGAAAGATGAAAAAATTAATTTCTAAGATACAAGCACACTTAGGACAGTTCCCACTTTCCTACATCAGGTTTATGGCCCTGACAAAAGTAGGAGTAACCTACAACAAAACATGGTGGACTCTGAATCAATTTATAGAGGGCTTGATATAATATTTCCCATACAAATATTTTTCTTTGTTGAGGGTGGAACTAGAAAATTCACAATGCATGTCTTTGGTCTCAAACTTCAATCCATTAGCATGAGAAGCCAGTATATATATATATGTCACCAGGTCCACCCTTATGTCAAAGCATACTATTTCACTGTATTTACTTATATCCTCGCATATTTTTTTGTACATCCATGCTCTCTGACAGAGTCAAAACTTTGTGACTGTGGAATTCCAGGATCTGACCATGTTTAGGGGTCTGCATAAAGCTGCAGATCCCTCTGCCAGTCATCATCTAAATTTTCACTCTATTATTAAATTTAACAAAACACTGCCAAATGGTCACTTCTAACATAGACCTCACAAGTGAATTCCGACATTCTTGTCAGCTGAGGGCAAAGGACAGAAAAGTTAAAAGACAGTTAACCATCGCCATCCATGTATCAGGATTAAGCACTATTCATCTGACTGTGCGTCACACAGTGCTACCACACCACTGAATCATTAATACCAGAATTAAAGTCTGAGAGGCAGCCCTAGTATGATGAAGGTTAACTGGCGACATTTGAAACAAGATTAGAAAAGTGTATACTATAGAGTACAAAAACATTCCATACGATTTCTGATGGGTGTGTTATAAAATAGTTGAAAAGCTACTGATAGATTTTAGCAACATGGATAGTTCATATAGCCAGTGATAAATACCAGCAAGATAAACTGATTGACATGATACAGGTGTCTAGGGATAGTTCACATGACCACTGATAGATGGCAGCATTAGCAGTTCAAAATAATGATGACAGATGACAGCACCTTTACTTCACACAGCAATAGAAAATCTGTCAGCTGTTTTCAAGTTGTTTTTCAGAAAGGATAGTCAAATGATCTCTGATGGATGTGCAACATGATCTTGGCTGAGAGATGTAACAGGCAGGCAGACACAATGTGCCCATAAGGTTATCTTTGCTTATGCTACTGCATAAAGAACACCTAAAAACAACTTGCAGTTCAATTCTCAAACAGCAATGGCATATATTGATATAAACATACTTTATATTCAGTATGATTAGGTATTTAAAAAGTGTCTAGTCTGTATGGACCCATGGTTTATGGAACACAAGAAAGATCTTAGGTAAAACACAGCTTAAATCATGCTACGAGCATGAATAGTTGTGTATATTTTTGCCACCAGGTCTCTTAACATTCATTACAAAAACCCTCATTCCAGATTGTGCGACAGGCTGGTTCCGCACACAGGCAAGAAACTTGTTTCTTAAGAATGTGTAGAGGAGATTTCCAAGACAGAAAATCATGGAAATATGTGAAAAACTTTGAGGAAAGAAAACTTACAATAGATTAAAGACTATTTTACTGTTTTGTTAGATTTTTATATCATTACATTGAACTGGTATAGACTATGGAAATTTTCACTTTCAATATGCACTGTTGTTAATAACAATGTGGTTATTTCTGTAGTCCAGAATGAAAACAGGTGTACCTGGGTTGCTGGGTTTTTGGACCGTGTCCATCCCCTGACAATGTTTAAAAAACCAAGAATCCAGATTGTATTGCCATTGTATTATTTTATAATTGTCAGAAATCTTCAGAATATATATTTTCTTTGATTTAATCCACATAGAATGAGAGTGCAGGCTTCAGATTGTCCATCAGGAGAACATTGGCAGGTGTTGCAGTCCCTCTTGTAAGTTGTGCCAGGTACACATTTCTGAACATCTGTAATAAAAAGTTAATTAATTAAAATTCACTGACTTTCTAATAACAGAACCCACAGATTCAAGTCTACTAATATAAGTTCTAGATACAATACAATATAGTATACATCTCCACAATCCACACATTAAATTTGACTAACTGGTAATAAAACTCAGAGAATCAGCACTGCTAATGTGAAGATGACCACTTGACAATTATTTTGAGCTAGTTATATACATCAGACTTCTCCACAAACCATCTGATTAATTTAACTGTCTGCTAATAAAACCTAAAGGTTCAGTACCTCTACAACTAAAAAAAATTCATACAATGATGATGATGACCTCTTGAGGTCAAAACACATTTGCCATTAGTGTCCTTCATAGTGTAAGCAGTTTTGTTTGTATACGTATCTTATAAAAAGCAAGGTGACACTTGATCACGATCACAACCTAATGGATTTCTTGTGCCATCCATAATATCATTGGAGATAAAAGAGGAACTCCTTATGAACAGAGATTCTTCACTGATTACAACCTTTTACCTCTTTGTCATGGATGTGATCCAACTATTAGTGTCAGAGACTAATTAATCTTGGTAATGATGACGGATGTATGTTTGGTTCCTTTCCTACAAATGGGACATCATGATTGGGACACATTGAGAATTAATGGCCCACTCTTGAACATTTATATATACCATATTAGAATAAAATGATGAAATTCAATCACTTTCTTTACATACTGAAATTTCTGCATTTTTACAGCATAGGAATCAAGCCAGCCAAGACCGACAAGAACTATGACAGATTCTGAAAAGTGAAATCTTTCTTTGATATGGTCAGTGACACCTATGATAAAATTTACATTCCATCTGAACATTTAGCTGTAGGTGAAGTAATTGTGCTGTTCAAAGGGAGTTGTTTTCAAGCAAGTCAGTCCTAAGGAACAAAATGTTTTTATATAAAGGTCTACAAATGTTGTGATACGACATGGAGATCAACTGGAAAATTCAATACAGATAACAAGAGTGACATATTTGGAAGTGAAAATTGTCACTAGGAGAGTGGAAGTGGTTGGCCATAAATTTTACACAGACAATTCTTTCTCCTCCCTGGATGTATCTGATGACCTCAGCACAACAGTTTTTAACAAAAATGGAAATGTTAGATAAAACTGTAAAGAATTCCAGGGGACTGACTATGACAGTAAGACACTAAGATTGAAAATGTCTAACATACATGATAAGTTGAGAGGTGTCTTGAGAATAATGATTTGCAATGACAGGTGAAATGTGTGTATACTGACAGACGTCCATAAACCACCAGCAGAAGGCAACTTCTATGAATGCATGACAGCTCCTTTTACTCTGTCAATGAATTTATGTTGTTTACAAATAAGTGATAAATTTTCTTCCGTGTGTAATGGATAGATCTATTTGTAACTTATCATTTCTCTAGGTGAACCCTTTGTTTGTATTATGTGAAATTTATATAATACGAGGGTCGCTCATTAAGTAATGCCCCACATTTTTTTTCTCAGCCAATAATGAAGATAGAAAAGTGTACTTTTACGTGCTTGAGATTTGATGTTTCCCGCGTTCGTGTACGGAGTTTCAAATGATTCCAACCGATAGCGGAGCTGTAGTGAACTGTTAAAATGGCGTCTGTGAACGACTCTCGTTACAAGCAACGAGCTGTAATTGAATTCCTTGTTGCTGAAAAAGAAACGGTGGTGAACATTCATAAACGTTTGTGTGCTGTGTATGGAAGCTGTGCAGTCGATAGGAGCACCGTTGGTCGCTGGGCTAAGAGAGTTAAAGCTTCAGGAAGTGAAGAAACCGAGCTCCGTGATCTGCCGCGCTCTGGGCTGTTGAACCGCGCGGATGCCATTATTCGTGAGGATCGGCGCATCACAACTCGACAATTGGCCCAACAGCTTTCAGTCAGCAATGGAAGTGTGATTGCAATTATCCAGGCTCTCGCATATTCGAAGGTGTGCGCAAGATGGGTTCCACGAAGTCTCACAGCAGACCACAGGATTCAAAGGAAAACGATTTCTTCTGAATTGTTGGAGCGTTTTGATGCTGAGGGAGAGGTCTTTCTGTCCCGGATCATTACAGGTGACGAAACCTGGATACACCACTTTGAGCCAGAGACAAAAAGGCAGTCAATGGAGTGGCATCAGCCTCAATCACCGAGAAAGAAGAAATCCAAGACAACTCCCTCCGCCGGAAAAGTCATGATGACTGTCTTTTGGGACAGTGATGGGGTCATTCTTGTGGATGTGATGCCAAGAGGTGCGACCATCAATTCAGACGCGTACATCAGGACCCTGAAAACCCTCAAGAAGCGTTTTCGACGAGTTCGGCCTCACAAGCATCCAGCAGAAATTTTGCTCCTGCACGACAATGCACGCCCTCACACAAGTCTGAGAACCCGGGAAGAAATCACCAAATTTGGTTGAACGGTGCTGCCCCATCCACCCT